CCCCCCCAAACCCCCCGCAGTCCCTGGCCGCAGACCTGGAGGAGGCGGAGGAGCAGCACGCCCAGGCCCTGCGCAGCCACCTGCACAACGTCGACCGCCTGCTGCAGCTCCAGCGCTGCCGCCTGGCCTGCCTGGAGGAGGGGTACGGCGCCCAGCTGGAGGCCCTGCAGACGGAGTTTGAGGCTGAGAGGTACGGAGGGGGAGAGGGGATGGCAGTGGCACCCGCTGGGTGTCCTGTCCTGGTGCTGAGCCCTCTCACGGCCTGGTCGGGACCGCCGTGGCTTCCCTCTGTCAGCAGCTGCCCCGTGTTTTCCCCAGGAGAACCATCCTCGAGCAGCACGAGCGGGAAAGCTGCTACCTGCGGGACGTGGCGCTGGCCATGGAGCAGAATTACGCCAAGAATGACCACGAGGCCACGCTGAATTTCCAGAGCGCCCGGGATGACATCAAAAACAAGGCACGGGCAGGGGGAGGAATCGGCGAGGAGCCTTTTACGGCTTGCGAGCAGAGCACACGGCGAGGTTTGAGAGGCGCTGGGTCACCCATGCCCGCGTCTGTCCCCAGAGCCTGCAGGAGAAGCAGTACAGCCGCATGCAGCTGGGCGGGAAGGCGGAGGTGCTCTGGGAGCAGTTCCAGCGGGCCATGCAGAGCTACACGGAGGCCACCGAGCACCAGAAGATCGCTTTTGAGGCGCTGAAGCAGAAGGACGAGAAGAGCTCCAGGGAGATAGAGACGCAGGCGAAAAAGCTGCAGAAGCTCCAGGTTGCGGCAGGGCGCAGGGGCGGCCGTGGGAGCCGAGACGTCCCCGTCCCGCTGCTCACGTTTCGCCTGTCCCCAGGACTCAGTCACAGCCACCAAGGGCCGGATCGCGGCTCACCTCCGGGAGAGCGAGGAGCAGAACCGGCGCGCGCGGGAGGAGAAAGAAAAGGTCCTCAGGCAGCTCCAGGAGCTCAAGAGCGAGATGAACCAGGCCAGGGCTAAGGCCCACGGCAGCCTGGCCAGGCTCACCGCGCAGAGCGGCGCTGCCCTGAAGGCGCTGGCGCGGGTGGTGGAGAAGGTGAGGCCGGCAGCCGGCGGGCAGGGGGAGCACCGGGGGGTGCCGCCGCCATCCCCTGCCGCCCTGCCCTCACTCGCACCCCTCCCCAGGCCCAGCGCGTCCTGCGGCTGGCCGAGATGTGCCGCAGGCTGGAGACGGAGGAGGAGAAGGTGCTGCCCTTCTACCCTTCCTCGCTGGCGGAGGGGGAGCAGCGAGACGCCCGGCGAGTCCT